AAAGATACTAAAGATACTAAAGATACTAAAGATACTAAAGATACTAAAGATACTAAAGATACTAAAGATACTAAAGAAAAGATACTAAAGATACTAAAGATACTAAAGATACTAAAGAAAAGATACTAAAGATACTAAAGAAAAGATACTAAAGATACTAAAGATACTAAAGATACTAAAGATACTAAAGATAGCGATAAGTCAAGACTATCAAATTCTTTGAGTCTCCAATGTTCCAGACCATTATTGAATACAAATGGCATGCATTTGCTCAAATACGTTATTTTTCTTATTTTTACTCTATTTGATTTTCTCTACACTTTTTATTATGGGAATTGTCATAAATTACCAAAATAAGAATTTATTGATTGCATCCTTATGCTTTGGACTTCTTTTAGCACTTGGTTGGGTAAGATATGGTAAAATGTATCGGACGTCGGTTTTTTGTTTCTCACTTATTATATTACTTGCAATAACTGGATTTTTTGAGTGTGTTAATGGTAGTGCACTCCCAGTAATACGCCCAATATTCAAATGTATCTCAATTTTTCTTTATATGTTGGTTTAATTGGGTTTCTATGTGTCATTGAAAGTATAGAGGTATTCAATATCACTAAGTATTATTTAAATTTTTTCGGTTTCACAATTTACAAATTTTTATTGATTTGTTAATTATTTAATATATATATGTTGTTTCAAAGCATTTTATGAAGATTTGCAGGAAATTAATATCGTTACTTATTTTTCTGTATTTTCCTGCGCTCATGCAGCAATAGTGTATGCCTTAGAGAATATTCCCATTCCACCTAGTCAGCCTAATCAATCTTCAGTGTTATTTGATCAATTTAATAATTCTTCTACGACATTTGATCAACCTGATCAGTCTTTTGCGACATTTGACCAAGCAAAAAATTGCACATGCGGACGGCTTCGCCGCCCAATTTCAATTAGATATAACAGACGATGTGATAATTGACATTATTAATTACTGATAATTTGATGTTTCATTTTATTGAATCCAAAAGAATTTTTTTTTAAGATTTTAAATTTACACTAATGAAAATACAAGAACAGTAAAATTAGTTTTAAATAGAAATAAGAAAGCATTTGTTATTTTTATTTATTATTTTGTTGTTTTTTTATATAGTTTTTGGCCTCGCTTCGCTCGGCCTTTTTGCAAATATAGTTTATTTTTTTTATTTATTTTTTGTTATAATGTTGACAATTTTTTATATAGCTTTCAGCCTTGTTTCGTTCGGCTTCTTTGCAAATCTATTTTATTTTATTTTATTTATTTTAATTATTTATTATTATTTTTTTTTTGTCATAATGTTGCCAAATTTTTTCTCAAATCTAATCTGTATTTTATTTATATGCTATATTTATATTCTAGTGCGATAATGCCACCATCTTATTTAGTAATAAATGATTGTTATACGTAACTGACGAAATCAGCATGGATAAAAAAAAAACCCCAATGAGATAAATAGATTATTTCAAATTCTTCGATTAAATTAATTTGAATAAGATACTAACCTATTGATTGACTCAGCACAAATTAGAAAAAATGAGTAAATTATTTCGAATACGTGGATTAATAAATGATTATTATATTCATCAATTAAATCATCTTATCGCTTTTAAATAAAATAATAATTTATTAACGATATAAAGTATATATTTATTATAGAATATATTTTTGAAAAATATATTTTATAAACTTTATTATAAAAATTTTTCGATTTAGTTGGATCGATAATTTTTTCTTGAGCCCCGCGGAACAATATAGGTAATAAACATAAATTCGTTATATTTTGCGAAACTCATTTAATAAATACTACCGGTCTGGTCCACTCTGGTCCTCTTAAAATCAAATAATAGTTGCTTTAATAACTAGCTTCAGGACTCGCCAATTTATAATACCGTAAATTCTCGAAATAGCGGTCATGAGTGTTATTTCGAATTTTGGCCCGAATTAAGCTTAATTCGGGCCAAATTTCAAATAACGCCCATGACCGCTATTTCGAGACTTAAAAGACAAATATGCGAATAATAAAAGAAATGTTAAAATAGTATTCATGAAATGAGTCCCAAAAAATATAACAAATTTAGATGATTACCTATAACTACCCCAGTATCGCCATCCAAAATTTATTAAACCAAGAATACCTCCATAAATTCTGCGCATCAGCCAATCAGATTTTGAGATCAGATGTAACGTGAAATCAAGAACATAGTATACATCAATTTGATAAGGAACTTTTTTTGTTAGGCAAAATTTCAAAAAAAGCACATAATTTCACGTTACATCTGATCTCGAAATCTGACTGGCGAAAGTTGCAATATGTAAATTTCAGTAAATCAAATTTCATGTAATTTTTTATCATGGTTTATATAAAGTACCGGCTTTACAAAGTTTGGCCAGCATTATTGTACTATTTGATTTGAATGTATGATCTCAAATCGCCGAAAATTTGATCGCAGAAGCCATACATGTGATCAAAAATTACAATCCCATTTACCGAATCTTATGCAAAAATTACATAACTGATAAATTACGTAAAATTACAGTAATTTCACAACCCTAATAGGGTTGTGTTACATAAATTACAATTTTACATTACATATAATTTGCGTAAGTTTCAGAAAATTAAATTAAATTCGAGTGCCCTAATTTCACCCACCACTTCTGATTGGCTGTACTAATTATTCATTTATCGGAGCCAATCCAATTTC